GCTGTGTGTGTGTGAGACAGACAAGGGCTGTGCAAAAGGGAAGACAGACAGAAAGACAGGCAGACTTGTTTACTTGCAGCAAGCAAAAAGGCGAAGGAACAGAGAGATTCCATTATAATGGGGAGGCTCAAATACCATGCAGTATTTAAAGGGGATGTGTCACTGCAGGTTTCTCCTGGAAAAAGCCCCTGCCTTTGACTTTGAGATCACCTCAGAAAGACCTGCTGACTAAGTCAAAACCAGATTTTTGAGAAGCCTTTCTTGGTGTTAGCAGCAAGCCAAGATATTTACGTAAATATCTATTATTTGGGATTTAATCTCCAGCATTAACATTCCTCGCAATGGGCTCTGCTCGGCAATGAAAATGAATGCAATTTGCACAGTTACTTGCAAAGAAGTTGAAATAAACACAGCAATAATCCGTATTATTTGGGGAATTAATTTTCTACCTCCTGGCTATGCTTTTATTAACAACCCCTTTGTTTGCATCTTATGTTAGATAACTCCCTTTCTAACTGGGGAGTTATAAGAGACTTAACAGTCATTACATATTCAGTGGGGATCTTTCATAGGGCCCCACTGAACTGCAATGAAATCCCTGAGGGTATGTCTACACTACAAAGTTAGTTCGAACTAACGGATGTTAGTTTGAACTAACTTTCATAGGCGCTACACTAGCACTCCGTTAGTTCGAATTTAATTCGAACTAACGGAGCGCTTAGTTCGAACTAGGTAATCCTCATTCCACGAGGATTAAGCCTAGTTCGAATTTACTAGTTCGAATTAAGGTCTGTGTAGACCCTTAATTCGAACTAGTGGGAGGCTAGCCCTCCCCAGCTTTCCCTGGTGGCCACTCTGGCCAACACCAGGGAAACTCTATGCCCCCCTCCCGGCCCCGGACTCCTTAAAAGGGCACGGGCTGGCTACGGTGCCCGTGCCAGGTGCAAGCCTGCCAGCACCCAGCCAGCAGACCCTGCACCTGGCACGGATCGAGCCACCCACCCGATGCCCCCCAGCCCTCCCTCTCTTCCCGGGACCAGGCTGGCGGCTCCCGGGAGCTTGCCCGGGACCGCAAGAGGCGGGCACCCGCCTGGGCTAGTGCAGACATCGTGGACCTTGTCCATGATCTCCGCACTAGGCACAGGAAAGTGGCCGGCTAGGGCAGGAGAGCTGCCAGCCTGGCCACCCAGGAGCAGGTGTGCATGAAAATCAAGGGGGTCCACTGAGGCCCCCGACCCTGAGTCCTGAGCTTACAATGGCCGTCCTGGGTCAGACCAAAGGTCCATCTAGCCCAGTAGCCTGTCTGCCGACAGCGGCCAACCCTAGGGACCCTGGAGGGGATGGACCGAAGACAGTGACCAAGCCATTTGTCTCGTGCCATCCCTCTCCAGCCTTCCACAAACGTTGGGCAGGGACACCACTCCTACCCCCTGGCTAAGACTACTCCATGGACCCAACCTCCATGACTTGATCTCACTTCCCTTTAAGCTCTGTTCTAGTTGTAGCCTTCACAGCCTCCTGCAGCAAGGAGTTCCACAGGTTGACTCTGCTTTGTGAAGAACAACTTTCTGTTACTACTTTGAAGCCTGCTACCCATTCATTTCCTTTGGTGTCCTCTAGTCCTTCTTTATGGGAACTAATGAAGAAATTTTCTGTATGCACCCTCTCCACCCAACTCCTGCTTTTAGAGACCTCTATCCTGTCCCCCCTCCGTCTCCTCTTTTCTAAGCTGAAAAGTCCCAGTCTCTTTAGCCTCTCTTCACATGGGACCTGTTCCCAACCCCTGATCATGTTAGTTGCCCTCCCCTCTCCCAGCCTCTCTCTTCCCCTCTCCCACCTCCTTTTCCCAGTCTCCCCCAGTTTTGGTCAATAAAGACAGATTCCATTTTTGAACACAATAGTCCTTTATTTTGTACATCAAGAAAAGGGGCTAGGGAAGGGTAAGTGGAAGGAGGTGAGGGAGGAATGGGGTACGAGCCCCCGATGGGGAGGACTGGGCTGGCTCTGTGGGCTTCTGGGGGTGGAAGCTCTCCTGCAGCCCCCCAATTGCCCCCTCTCCCCAGATGGCAGCCTGCGGCAAGTGCAGCCGGTCTGATGGCCGAGTGCTGTGATGTGCCCAGTGTGGGTAGTCTGGGCACTCCAAGCCAGGACTGCTTTGCAAGCGGGGCACCCCTGAGAACTGTCTGTCCGGGGTGGGGGTCGGGACCCTTTAAGCGCAGCCCTCGGCTACCCTGAGACAGCATCTCCACGCTCTAAGTCCTCCTCTGATGCCCTGCCGGCACTGCTTCCGGCCATCCTTAAGCCCGGTTCAGGGTCCACTTAATGTGGACATGCTAGTTCGAATTAGCAAAACGCTAATTCGAACTAGTTTTTAGTTCTAGATGCGTTAGTTCGAATTAGCTTAGTTCGAATTAACTAATTCGAACTAAGTTAGTTTGAATTAGCGCTGTAGTGTAGACGTACCCTTAGAGTTTTGTTATTGAGTTTGAGGTGGATTGGGATGAGACCCTTTGTGAAATCTTTTTTCACCAGCTGCCCTACCTCTGAATTTGCTATTTGCCATGATGTAATGCAGTGAAACAGTTAGGGACTTCCATTCTACTTCACAATGAACCAGATCTGGGGCTGAGCCAAAAGCCCAGATCCAAACACCCCCAGTTTTGGTTCCGTTTGGATCCAAAGTTTGCATTTAGCCCCTCTCTTTATGATGAGCTGAACCTAGATGCCCTATGATCTCTGGGGCAGCTCAGTTCTAGATGCAAAGTTAAACCTTGGCCAGATCGCTAGCAGATATAAATCAGCACAGCTTCTTTAAAGGTACTGGTAGCTCAGCTGATTTGTTCCAAATGAGGATCTTCCCCTCTGAGTCATGGGCCCAATGTATGAATGTCCCTGTATTTGAGTTCAGTGTAAACAAAGTTCTACTGGAGTGGATAATTTGATAATCGCATGTCTACATGCCAAAGAATTGGCTTAAAAGCCAATAGGCATCTTAACTGATAAGTTATTCAAGCCACAGAAAAATAACTCTGCTCCCTCTACAAATAACTCGATCATTCCTTCTGTGTTGCTGTTCAAGACTTCTGGTTAAAAAAGAGAAGCAAGGAATACTTTTACAAGAAGGAAGATAATAGATTTGGAAGGCTATTGTGTCTTGTAAAGATCTGCGGTAAGAATTGTTAGACTGTACTCTTCAGGGAAGGGAATGATTTTAATTCTGTGTTTCTGAGTGTCAGCCACATAGTTGTCCCAACACTAATGGGAAAAACGCAGCAATCAGCTAAAGTTATAAAGCTGTTCATTTGGGTCCCTGAAACCCATGCTGTGCAGACAGTCCATGTTGTGGCGTGGTTTTTTGGGCTGGAGGCACCGAGCAAAGGTACACTTGGGTTCTATCACACTCCCTGTGTACGCTATCAAGATTTACAGCTGCAGGGCTCCATAAGAAAAAAACAAGTTACTCTTGTTACAGTAGAGTAAAAAGCCTGATACTTGAGTCTAACTCAAGAGAACAGGCAGGTTATTTGCAGTGGGTTAACTGATGATCAGACACACATTATAAATGTGTACATAATGTGCAATTACATTTTTAAAACATATGAAAAGGCAATGTTCTGGGGTCACTGTCAAAGAGGAAGATGTTAGCCTTCTGACACATTTGTGACTGAGAATCCAACAGGAATTGTAGATCATCTCTCTAGCTAATAGAGATCTTGTTTTACGTTTCTATACAGCACTGACCACTTGCAGTATCTAAATGCTCAGTTATGGCCGGATCCAAAGCCCATTGAAATAAATGGAAAGAATCCAATTGACTTCAGAGATCTTTGGACCAAGCCATTATAGAATATCTAATCTAACCTAGCTAGAACTCAGTTTTAAACAATCGCTCCAGCTACCAGCACACATTGATTACCTAGTGCACATGAGTTTAACTCTGGTGTTCGAACTAAAGGAGTTTTAAAAAAAATCTACAAACAAAGGGAGGAGAAAGGGTGAAGGGAGAAAAGAACCATCTGTCATAGACGCTAGTCTGGGAAGGATTCAGGTACATCGGTGATGGATGCAGCATAAGTAAGCTGAATAGAACTGTCCTAGAAACCTTAAGGGAGCATCTTGAAGGCTAATCACAGTAGGTCTTTGCCTGTTAGAGGTGATGGTTAGTTTTCTCGATAATTAACCTAATAATCTGATGTTTGATTTCTAATTGCAGAAAAGCAACTGAAACCGGGTTTATGGTTATTTTTGACATTTTCTTGTTGAGTTTGAACAGGGTGGGAAAAAGCAGCATCCCAGCCACAGAGAACTTTTTTTTTGAACCAAGACAAGTTTAATTGACCTTTTCAAAGCCTCTTGTGAGATTTTAGCTGTAGCACTTCCGTTGACTAAGGGGTTTCTGCCAACTTCCAGGCAACTTTGCAGCCAAGTTATCAACCATTTAAAATGAAGCTTTATGTAACAGCCCTGCATGAATAGCAGCAGTTTGAATGGAATTATTAATCCCTCAATTAAATCAATGTACATGCTTTCCCTTTTCAGTAGCATTTTTTAATCCAAACATGTTAACCTATAAGGAACGGAAATAGCTTCTGATGCTCTGAAAGTAATGTAGCAGGGGGATTAAAAAATTAGCACTATAGGAATCTGCCCTCTTATACAAAACATTGTTCCTCATGTTTTCAGAGCTTGGTGGGGAAGAATAATATTGTATTGAATTGGGGCAGTAATCAGGAAAAAGAGTTAAACTGGAGGCACGATGGAAAGCAATGTGAAGTAAAATAAAGATGTATAACACCTCTGTAGCTAGCAGTGGTCTGCTGGTATATTTTATGTCTCTTGCTTACACAGACATGCTTACATGCCCCTCCTGCATATAAAAACCTATCACATGGATGACATGCCGACATGGACAATACTTTTTTTGGTTTTAAAAGATTTAACTTTCCATTTCCGTACCCTTCTGAGAGGGAAATCAACCAAGAAACATAAACTGCACTTACCTCCTCCATACATCTGACATAAATATGGAAATCTCCAAACATTTCCCAGCCCCACTGCATAGGAAATGCAGGCAAAAACAAACTGTAAGGGATTGTCCCATAATGGCCGGGATTTTTCCATTTGCACTTTCAAGCACAGATTTCAGCAGAGGGTTCTTGACTTCACTCCTTCAGGTGCTCTTTAAGCCCTGCCTAAGACTCAAAGCCAACCCAACTGAGAGGGGTGTAGGCTTTCCAATTGCTATCAAGCTTTTTAATTACTAATCTTATTAACAGGCACATAGTGAAGTAGGAATGCTGGTAAAAGATTATACACACACACACACACACACACACACACACACACACACACACAACTATAAAATGGGCACTTTGGGTGAACAGTTGGCTTTCAATTGCATGGGAAGCAGCTAAATTTAGATATTTTGGGGCATGAACTGCATTGATGTTGAAAACAGAAAACTTTAGGCTGCTCATGGCTGAAAGGACTTGCAAAACTGGAAAATCCTCATTACTTAAGATTAGCCTCCAACACCAGGGCTGTGTCTACACTGGGCCACTTATTCTGGAAAATCAGCCACTTTTCCGGAATAAGCTGCTAGCTGTCTACACTGGCCCTTGAATTTCCAGAAAAGCAACGATGCTCTACTGTACAAAATCAGCCGCTATTCCGGAAAAACTATTCTGCTCCCGCTCGGGCATAAGTCCTTATTCCGGAACACTGTTCCGGAAGAGGTCCAGTGTAGACAGCCCAGTAGTCTTTTCCGGAAAAGTGCGTCTACATTGGCCACAGACGCTTTTCCGGAAAAAGGGCTTTTCCAGAAAAGCAGCCTGCCAATGTAGACGCTCCTTTTCCGGAAAAAACTGAAAACAGAATAGTATTCCGTTTTAGGCAGTTCCAGAAATTCATGCCAGTGTAGACACAGCCCTGATGTGTTCCTTTAAGAATAGCGTGCATAGCTCAAGGTGAGAGTAGGCCATTTTGCATTGACTAATTAACGAGAGCGGTCTTCACACATTCAGGGTTTGCTTAAATATGCACACTTATCAGCATCCAAGGTGAAGATTACCTTACTGCAGGCCTGCTGGGGGAGAGGGCAAAGGGGGCAGTTGCTCTGGGACCCAGCAATTCAAGGGGACCAAGGCTCCTGGCCTCTGCCACAGCTACTACAGCCAGAGACCTGGGCTCTTTACTCACTGCTGGAGTAAAACTCCGCACATTCCACACACCTCCCAGGCCTTGGGGGGG